GAACGCTACGGTTCTCAAGACGTACCTTTTCTGCACTTGAGGCAGTCAGAACAAATGTTGAGAATACAGGCAGCGGGTATTTGGTTTGAGGGTCCCAGCATTCAATGGTGGCCCCCATTGGAAGACAGAAGAGAGGTACAGATTCTGATAAGGGGAATGACTCATAGTCATCTTCTGGGTATCTGAATATCAAGCCTTTCCAAAGGGAAAACAATGAGATAGAAGCATGTTTCGTGTTATCTTACTCTGTATGGAGATAACAGAATATATTTGCTTTCGTAGATTTTCACGGGTACAGGAATGCAGGTTTTGGTGTCCTCGGGTGTCTTCCCGTGTAAAAGTTGGGGTGTCTAGGCGACGTTTCGACGAGGTCTCACTCGTCATCTTCAGGCTGGTGCTTTCGGCTTCTTGTTACTGGAACAGAGCTCTGTTCCAGTAACAAGAAGCCGAAAGCACCAGCCTGAAGATGACGAGTGAGACCTCGTCGAAACGTCGCCTAGACACCCCAACTTTTACACGGGAAGACACCCGAGGACACCAAAACCTGCAACAGAATATATACGTATAGAACAATGTTAAATGGCCATGGTCATGTGTTCGAGCCTCATGCTGGGCGAAAGATTCCTGAATTGCAGGGGGTTGGAAGAGATGAGCCTCATTGTCCAACTCCACAATTCTATGATTCTCCCACATTTGAAGGACATTCATCTTAGCCAGGGATGGGGACAGAAAAATGGGACAGGGGTCCTTCTCTTTTTTGCTTCACCAACTCCAGGCTGGCTGAGGGGCAGGAGGGTCAAACCCTTTGGGGGATCTACAGGGTTTGGGATCCAAAAGGTTGCAATTCTCCTGCTCCTCACCTGAAGTGCCCTGTTTTGAAGCCTGGCAACGCCTACTGATGGAAGGAGAACCAACAGCTGGAGCTTACAGCCCACCTAAGCTGAAGCCTCTCCAGAGTCAAACCCACCAGTACCACCAGCGCTCCTTTCTGCCAGCAGAGAAGACACCATAAATCACCTTACCCCATCACCAGCGATCAGCACCAGGGAGTTAAGGGTTGCACTCACAAAGTAAGAAAAAACCTGGATAGGGCTGTATGGTATCAGGAGCAAAAACCCATGACTAATCCACATAACGTGATTGGAAAGCATGTTGCAAAACAAAATTCAAAACCATTATGGTGTGTGTTTTTTTAAACAACCACTTAGGCAGCCATGTATCATGAACTTCTGCTTCTAAGTGAAAATTTGGCTATAAGCCATAAGGGAGGCTGCATAAAAGTTCCAAGCAACGATTGGATCACCTTGGATCAAATCTATGCTTCCAGGTGTCATTAGAAAGCTGCAGAGATAGCGCAGGATAGTACGTACCCTGGAAATTATCTCTTTCAGCTTCTGCCTTCTGGAAAAAGGTACAGGGTTATAAAGATTAGGACTAGCTGCCTGAGAAACAGTTTCTATCCAAATGTGATTTTGGTTTTAAATGCAGTGTCAGGTAGTCTCTATGGGAGTATATTGTATTTAATTATGGGGTATCAGAGTTTTTAGGGGGTTAACCAGGCTGGGATAGCTGGGATAGCAGGCGTGTTGGTTTTTGAGTGTCTGATGTAGATGTTTTCAATTTCGTTGTTCTGTATGGGACAATGACAATAAAGATTATCATATCATATCGCATCGCTTGTGCCATTCAAAACGGTTACATTATAAATTCGCCCTAAAGGAAAAAGCCAACACCTCTACCATCAGTGCCCTTTGCTATGGCACGATGGAACATTAAAAAACAAGCTATTGGGTTTGCCCATTTGCCTTAAGGAGTCAGAATGGTTGCACTAGCTGGACCTCTGGAACGGATGAGCAGGAAGAAGTCATGTTGCATCTGCTGGCACAGTGCTAAACTGGCCAATGATTCCATGTTGACAGGCCCGTTCACCTTACCCCATGCTTCCATGTTGTTTATTTTATAAGGAACTCTTGGGGTAAGATCAACATCTTGGGGCAATAAACATAGTTTCCCCAGTTATTCCTGGCTGCTGCTCCTTCACGGAACTGTGAACACACTTCCAAGCTTCTCCATTCATAGTCCTTTCTGGCTTAACAAGGCCTGGATTTTTAATTCATTTATTTTGCAGATTCTGCAAAATTCGCTTTGGCTGAAAAGAAATCCAGTGGGTTAAATAGTGTTCTAAGGGACGCAGGTGGCGCTGTGGGTTAAATCACAGAGCCTAGGACTTGCCGATCAGAAGGTCGGCGGTTCGAATCCTCGCGACGGGGTGAGCTCCCGTTGTTCAGTCCCTGCTCCTGCCAACCTAGCAGTTCGAATGCACGTCAAAGTGCAAGTAGATAAATAGGTACCGCTCCAGCGGGAAGGTAAACGGCGTTTTCCATGTGCTGCTTTGGTTCGCCAGAAGCGGCTTAGTCATGCTGGCCACATGACCCGGAAGTTGTCTGCAGACAAACGCCAGCTCCCTCGGCCTATAGAGCGAGATGAGCATGCAACCCCAGAGTCGGTTACGACTGGACCTAATGGTCAGGGGTCCCTTTACCTTTACCTTTAAATAGTGTTCTGGAGAGACGCAGGTTCAAATCTTCACTCGAGGTGATGAAAGGAATAAAAGGGGGCAGGGCACAATGAGAAACCCACGTACACTGCTCTGAGTTCAGTGGAGGAACTCAAATGACAGAATACAAAGAACAATGTATAATCAAACGTTTTTATTCAACAAGTGGATGGTGTTTAAGGTGCAGTGGTGGAAGCTCTTTGGCATCAAGAAATCACAGCCAGCAAATTTTAGTAAGCGGCAAAGCAATTTAAAGTAAATTTAAAATCAGTGCTAATATTATCTGGAAAATAAATAACCTTACCAGCTTTGTATGCAATGGAGTTCGAAGCTGGAACGGACTTCTTGTAACACAGGTATACACTGGAACCCCACTGCGAAGGCACCAAAAATTAGATCATCACCAGAATCAGTGTTTGGGAGAAGAGAAAGCACCAACATCACAGGAGAATGGCTTGCCTTGCAAAACCCTCCCAGAGCCAATTGCATACCAAAAAAATTGTTCACGCCTGCACATATATCGGTGGCCATACTCTATTGAAGTCAACAGTTGCTGCGCAGTCAGTCTTTAGATGTAAGACCATAGAAAAAAAACCAACCTACCAGGACAGGTAAAATAATTTATTATTTATTTATTTAATTTATTTATTTATTAATTATTATTATTATTATTATTATTATTATTATTATTATTATATTATTATTTTATTTATACCCCGCCCTCCCCAGCCAGAGCCGGGCTCAGGGCGGCTAACACCAATAAAATCACAGTAAAAACATAATAGAGGGAAAAGAGAGGGGGGGAACCCCCTAATTTAAAATACAGGTTAAAAAGCAATTTAAAATGGCAGCCTCATTTTAAAGTAGCTGATAAATCAAGACCATAAGGGGAGGGAAACATAGGGTCAGACTGAGTCCAAACCAAAGGCCAGGCGGAACAGCTCTGTCTTGGCAGGCCCTGTGGAAAGATGTCAAGTCCCGCAGGGCCCTAGTCTCTTGTGACAGAGTGTTCCACCACATCGGGGCCAGTGCTGAAAGGCCCTGGCCCTAGTTGAAACCAATCTAAATAATAATAATAATAATAATAATAATAATAATAATAATAATATTTATACCCTGCCCATCTGGCTGGGGCGGCTTCCAACAAAAGATTAAAAGTACGTTAAAACATCAGTCATTAAAAACGTCCCTAAACAGGGCTGCCTTCACTCTGCTAGCACTTTCTTTCTACACTGAGGACCATCTCTACTTTTGTTTCTTTTTAGGACTTGCGGTTCAGTGCGGACTATGGCAGGCGGCGGAGACCGCTTGTCCTGAGCGCGATTGCTGAGCGCGATTGCTGTGAGCCCTGAGCCCGATTGCTGTGAGGTTCCAGGAAGGGGGCACGGGCAAAGCACCTTCTCCAAACAGCCTGAAAGAAAACGTTCGGGTTCCAGAAGGAGCCGTCGGAGCTCCGAAATCAAGAGCAGACAAACAGTGCGATCAAGACCCACAGCAAAACTGCCTTAGGAGCCGCCATTGAAGCAGCGGTTCCTCCAAAAATAAAAGAAATTTGGACCAATTTGAAAAAGGTAACTTTTTTTTAAGAAGAATAAACTAACTGGATCCACACCAGGGTGTTTTTTTTAAAAAAAAATCTTATTAATTTTTCACGAAGAAAAAAACTTTGCAAATGTTAACATAAACCATAAGTTACTTTATCAACTGACTTTCCTGTCCTCCCCTTTCATGGTTTCCATGTTCACCTTTAAATGTTGCATATTTCGCCTATGCTATTCAATACATTCAATTTACCCTATTTAGAACAGCCTCCGCTTATGAAAATAGACACGTAAAGTATCTCAGCATAGTGTTTTATCTCCTCTTGCTTCACTCCTGATCTGTATACAGTGGTACCTCAGGTTACATACGCTTCAGGTTACAGACTCCGTAACCTAGAAATAGTGCTTCAGGTTAAGAACTTTGCTTCAGGATGAGAACAGAAATCCTGCTCCAGCGGCGCAGCAGCAGCAGGAGGCCCCATTAGCTAAAGTGGTGCTTCAGGTTAAGAACAGTTTCAGGTTAAGTACGGACCTCCGGAACGAATTAAGTACTTAACCCGAGGTACCACTGTATTTGTGGTAAAAAAGGAAGGAAAGACTAGTTCTTCTCTGTCTTGTATGGTACACTTTCAGGGACTCAGGCAAATGCTAAAATTCAACCCCACACCAATATGTTCTAAACTGGATTCTACTGACCCTGTGCCTACACTTCAGTAGCGTTATCTGAAAAACTACTTTGAAAAGGCGTTTTACTTTCATGTATATCACCACAAACACAGCAATATATTTGTTTTTAAGGCACCGGGGACTTTTGCAATTGGCTTATAACTCGCAAACGAAGAATGCCAACAGTAAAATCAACTTCTTTCACTTCCACTTAAATAGCTCGGCTGTTATTCATAACAAAAGTAAAAGCTACTTTTTATCATTATAACACCAGCAGTCTTCCAAAGTTCAACTGTTCCCTCCTACCCTGTTCTTAAGAGAGAGAGAGAGAGAGAGAGAGAGAGAGAGAGAGAGAGAGAGAGAGTAGTTGGCTATCTCATAGATATGGATTCTCGTAGCAGAAGTGGAAGAAGGAAGAAATACAGAGCTGTGGAAAATGAGGTGATGCAAACTGTGCTCAGAGTTAAGTACACTAGGTAAGAGTGCAATACTTTTTTTATTATTATTACTGAAAAAACATTTTTAGCAGAAGCAACAAGCCCCAAAAGCATTTCTGCCCCATCACCCCATTACAAAGCCAAAATTTCAGACGACAACGTATTAATCTCACCATGCCACAATTCAAATTCTTATCGACTTTGCAGAATGTATGAGGCGGGGTTTCTCCTTTGCTGGTTACAATGACGCAGATGTCAGTAACGGCCAAGGAGTTTTGGGGTCGCACGGGGGGAGCCCTCCGAAAGGTGATGAAGATTCGCTGGGAACTTGCCGAACTGTTGTTGACATTCGCGCAACGGCCGTAGGGAGTAGCCTGGATCACTTCACAGCCTGGGATCAAGCGCTCCTTCCCTTCATATAAAACTCTGCAAGAAGGAAGGAATAACGGACAGAGGAACATTTCACACACATAGTACCAAATTATTTGCCAGTGCACTATTATAGAATTATATACCTTTCTCAATAGGATCCCTTTCAAGCACAAATAATGATTCTCAAAACAACGAATACCGAAAGAATTCCCACTGACTGCTGCTTTTCCGTGAAGACGGTTTTGCAAAGAGCATGGTGGAAACGAGAGAGATGGGTGATATCTGGCTTTCAACATAGTGATAGATCACCGGCTAAGCATCGTAATTTTGCCTGTACCGGTTTTTGTGATACGCTGCCTCTGCGTGAGGCAGGAGAGAGCTAAGCCGGCAGAGTTAATGGGGGCTGCAGGAATCGAGAGATGGCTTCGTGATTTTCCTCACATTTTGTGTGTGTGTGTGTGCACATTATGGTTTGCTATATATTGCCAGGCGAAAGAACGATGAAACTGATATCACAATATGGATTTCACACCAGGATTTGGATGATACCGTATTTTTCGCTCTATTAGACGCACCGGACGATTGGACGCACCTAGTTTTTAGGGGAGGAAAACAAGAAATAAGAAAGCTACGCAAAACATCCTGAGCTAAGAGGGAGCGTTCCTCCATCTTCGCTCAGGAAGCTTTGCAGGGCTACCCCTGAAGCCAGGAGAGCAAGTGGGATCGGTGCCTGGCTTCAGCGAAAGCAAGCCTACTGGCTTTCCTCTCGCAACAGCCACGCGCTCTTTAAAGGGAACACGGCTCTTGGGGGCTTTTCTGGGAGGTGGGGGAAGGGCAGCCCTTTTCCCTCCTCGGGAAAAGCCCCCACATGCTCCACGCGGCTCTTTAAATGGAGCGCTGACAAAGCCTCCCGCCTGCATTCCACTGCAATAAGACGCACACACATTTCCCCTTACTTTTTAGGAGGGGGAAAGTGCGTCTTATAGAGCGAAAAATACGGTATATCACCCAGCCCTAGCACACATCATGACCTAACACACAACATCACCAAAGCGCAGCTTCTGATTGGCCTCCTGCAGCCAATCGGAAGCCGCAGAAGCCCCATCGGACATTCGGGTTCCAAGGAACGTTCGCAAACCGGAACTCACTTCGGGTTTGCGGCACTCAGGAGCCAAAACGTCCGAGTACCAAGGCATTTGGGATCCAAGGTATGACTGTACTTGCATTCTATCAAACATGTACAGTTTTTGGATAGGACAGACTGTCAGGAGTTCAAATCCTGAAGGTCTTTTTTTTTTTTAACGCAAAACCACAATTTTATCTTCCACACTGATGCAGCTCAAGAACTAACAGGTCCTTTTCCGAGCGTACGTTTCCAAGCACAATTCAAAGCTTTGGTGTTGACCTTTAAAGCCCTAAACGGCCTCAGCCCAGTAGACCTGAAGGAGCGTCTCCACCCCCATCGCTCTGCCCGGACACTGAGGTCCAGCGCCGAGGGCCTTCTGGCGGTTCCCTCATTGCGAGAAGCAAAGCTGCAGGGAACCAGGCAGAGGACCTTCTCGGTAGTGGCGCCTGCCCTGTGGAACGCCCTCCCAACAGATGTCAAAGAGATAAACAACTACCTGACATTCAGAAGACATCTTAAGGGAAGTTTTTAATGTGTGAAATCTTAGTGTATTTTTTGTCTTTGTGGAAGCCGCCCAGAGTGGCTGGAGAAACCCAGCCAGATGGGCCAGGTACAAGTAATAAATTATTATTATAATTATTATTATTATTATTATTATTATTATTATTATTATTATCATCATTATTGGCAGAAGGCACCAAGTTCCACTGAAGAAGAGAAGAAAGGTGATTTTTATTTTCTTTTCATTTTTTGCTGGTTTCCTCTTTGCCCTGCAACCCCCCCTTCTCTTTCATGGTGGTCCAAAGGGTCTCCTCAGCATCCAGAACAGATTTTCAGGGGCCACGGGGTATTGTGGGGGAAGGGAAACATGTAAAAATTGCCCCTGCCCCCCTATTCCTCCAGCATTAGTGAAACTCGGTTGAGTACAAGTCTGGATCAACTCATAACATTTTCATACAGATGAAGTGTATAATCATCAGTGACATAATGACATAACTTACAATGAAGACACAGAAAAAGAAGAAAATTTAAAATAAAATAAAAGCAGGGAAGAAGAGGGTTAAATAGGAGTTCAAGTGGGGAAAGTGGGGGAATGAGAAAAAAGGGTTCAGTAGGCTAAATAATATTGCTAAATAATCTTTATATATTAAGTGTATCCTTCTAACTTCTACAATACATAGCTTCATAAACACCATCTGTTCATTGTTCCATGTTTACAATCAGCTCTGTGCAAAAAGAGAGATCATTAAATATATATTAATATATTATTGTCCAGTGTCTAGTTGTAAGCTGCTTTTCATCACTTTTTACCTTAAGCCACTTTAGTGGAAATATGGAACTCTAATAGTGTTATGCCTCCAAAGAAATATAGACTGTGATAAGCACTTATCTCAGGCTGAGATACTCATTGTATATTGCTATACCTGTATAATTAGAAATATGCTATGCTTCATGCCACCAGCAGGAGGAGCCCTTCTGACAGAATATATACAGTTCTTTTGAAAAAAATTATTATTAGAATGGATGACACCCCCTCAGTATTGCTTCCTAAATCCACCTCTTTCAAAGAGAATGGCAAAGCCAGTCAAGCTAAATGAGCATAGCAAGGAGTCTGAACCACTCCACTTCTGAGATTCTCAACCACTGCCCAGAGTGGCTGGGGAAACCCAGCCAGATGGGTGGGGTACAAATATATTATTATTATTATTATTATTATTATTATTATTATTATTAATGAATGAGATCATGTATGTGTCTGCCAAAAGCTGGGTTTGCAGGCACTGCTGATCAGCTGGTGGTTTGCACCTGCAAAGGCACATCGTATTTCTAAATATACACCAATTAGCATATGCAGCTATGCAGATTTGTTTCCTATTTGCCCTCCCCCCTGGTTATGTGTAAGTGGCCACCCTGCAAAGGATTCTGGGAAGCGTTTTAGCATGTACAACCCTTTCAGTTGAGCATTGCATGGGAATAGTGCTTTTTGTGGGCAAGTTTTTCAGGGAAGCTTGTCCACCATTACTGGGACCCTCAAAAAGGAGCCTATGATTAAATTTCCCACAGAACCTTAGGGTTGCTTACCATGCAGGCTACCCCCCCCCCACGGGATTTGTATCCTACTATATCTGACAACATGCTCTAAAAGTGGCCAACACATTGGATCGCCCCCTTTGCAATCTCTTTGGGAAAATAACCAAGGAAGCTTATAGCCTAATAATAGACATATTTAAATAGAAGCAAGCCCCACTGAGTTCAGTGAGACTACTTTTTAGTAAGTGTGCTTAGGACTACAGTCCCAAATATTGAACAGATTCTTTCCCACCCAATACTCAGAAAACAAAATAATTAGTTGTCTCGAATTGTTTGAGGGCTCTAGGCTAAGAATGCACATCCTCTTTCCTCGAGGAATATATCCCCCCTCAATTTATTAATAATTCCATTGCCTTCTTTTCACCTTTAACCAATATTCAAAACAGTAAGATTTGTGTCAAAAGAAATCAAACACTTTCAACAGTGAAATCCCCATCAGGAGAGATGGTGTGTGACGTTGGTTTCAGTTCACAATAATGGACATAGCTAGGCCAAGACACACATTTCCAAAACCCAGAGCTAGACGCAAGGAAGAAAAATTAATCCCTATATCTCATTTAGGATATAACGAAGAATCAATACTTGGGGGGAAATCTATGATTTTGCCCTGAGGTGAAATGCTAAGGTGATGGGAAAAACCTTTATTATAAATGAACTATGCAAAAAATTAAAAATACACTACAGTTCATAAATGAAAGAATATTTCACAGTCGATTTTTGTCAAACCTTTGTTCATCCGCATTGTCCTAAAATGGTTTATGGTGTCAACCCACAAGCAGCCTGGTGCTGTGTTCCTTCCTCTGTTCATATTTGTGCTTTACATACTTTCATCTTTTAGCCAGTGGTACTGTCCAAGCTCTTTCAAAACAGTCATGAATATATCTACCCATTATACAGAATCAGATGGTGGGCTCAGAATTCTGGACTATACCAGTTCAGGCTTTGGGTGTGTGGGTGTGGCAGGTCGTATTTTCTTCCTGTTGTACAGTATCACACAGGCAGGGAGAAAGATTTGGTACAGCAATATCTGGAGGGCCAAAGGTTCCCCACATCTGATGATGATGATGATGATGATATTTATACCCTACCCATCTGGCTGGATTTCCCCATGGTACCATTAATAGGAACTAATACAATGCAGCACAAACAAGAAGAATGAAAGGAAGGGAGCGTAGGTCTCAGCCCCAAGAAATTTACAGTACCCATTGGTTAGTGGCAGCAACACAGAGAAGGGAAACAGAAATTCATGTTGAGCCCATTTCTAAGAACACTATAAATTTCTAGGGCCAATCTACCAATAGAAGGAGTGGGCCGCATCAGGCATTTGGGCTCGAAAGGGCGGAAGATTACTAAATTTAAAATTGATGATTACTCTACATTTGCTGTCAGGGAGGGAGGGAGGCATTCATGGGATTTTCGCCATCAGCGGCCAAAGCAACTCAGGTGGCCTTGGGTACAGGGCCCGGGCAGTGGCTCAGTAATAAAGCATCTGCTTTGCATTCAGAAGAAGAGTTTGGATTTGATATCCCACTTTATCACTACTGTTAAGTTGTGGGTGAACATATCAGACGACACAGTGATTCTTCAAACAGCTCTTGTTTATTCACAGGCCAGGACAGAACTGAACTGAAGGGTTCAGTCAGCCTGCTTATATAGAGCTCCAGTACAACGTAACTGTAACAACTTTCTAAAACTATCCAATCACTGAACGCCACTTTCGATCCCTTATTTGCATAACTATCTACAGTATCCCCCTGCTGGCCCAGGGTGAGAACTTCAGTACATAACAACTACCCTAAGGGTAGTCAGGTTCAATCCCTGGCATCTCTGGATAGGTAGGACTGTTAGTGTGCCCACCTGAAATCTCAGAGAGCCTCTGCCAATCAG